TTTTTTTTTTTTTTTTTTTTTTTTTGCACCTGGCTGGTAAGGGGATCCAAATCCTTAACCTTGGTGTTATAACACTAAGTTTTTAGACCAGAAACTTGCTGGTCATTATTTACAATTTCAAAGTGCCTGATTTATTTGATTGTATTGAGTTTTTAAACATGTATGTTTTCAGAACTTTTTTAGAAAATATGCACCAAGTGAGAATGGGCCAAATGGGATCAGTGCTGAAGTCATGGATACTTATGTTAAAAGCTGTGGTAAGTTTTTCAGGCTATTACTTTCTATGGATATCTTTGAATAAAGAAAAACAGGCCATCCTGATATTGTCGTATTTATATATATATATATATATATATATATATATGCACACACACACACACACACACAGACACACATATATTTAGATCATGATAAGATTTAGATGCTCTATAAGAAGAGTAAAAGATATGTATAAAATGTTGATAAAAGAAGTCATTAGTGCTTTGACCTAATAGTAGTAACAAGATGTAAATTCTATTTGGTCTTTAATGGATGTGTCTTTGCAATCACTTAACTATTTTATAATTACAAGTTATCTCTTCCTGGAAGTTTTTATTTGTCCCTTGATTTTTTTCTGTTTTTGACTACCTGCAATTAAGCAGAAAATGGGAAAAATTTGAGTCAGAAATAATTGTGTTAATAATTGTGTTAGATAAAACTCAAGAACTAAAATAACATTGTTATGTTGAGAGGGTGCCTCTTATGGTATTTTAGAGTCAGTACTTACGGTTTGTTCCCAGAAATAAGTAAGTAGTAGCATGCCATAGGGATTAATTTATATTCTTCAATCAGTTCTGCCTGTCTTCATGAAGCTTATATTCTAAAGGCTTATTTTTTACTTCTTTTTTTTTGTCTTTTTTGTGACCGGTAAGGGGATTGCAACCCTTGGCTTGGTGTCGCCCGTACCACACTCAGCCAGTGAGCGCACCGGCCATCCCTATATAGGATCAGAACGCTCGGCGGGAGCGCCGCTGCACTCCCAGCACCACACTCTCCCAAGTGAGCCATGGGGTCGGCCCTACTTCTTATTTTTTTAAGAGATTTTTTTAATAACTAGATCATTTAAGTGAGGATTAATAAAGGAGTTGACACTAGAGTTGGGCCCTGAGTGATACATGGTATATACAAGAGTACTTCAAAAAGTTAATGGAAAAATAGAATTGAAAGATAATACAAATCTTTCCGTGAAAATTTTCTAAATACCCTTGTAATACATTGTACCTGTTTTATATACACATTATATTTATGTTTATGTCCATATTTATACCTATACTTAAAGCTGGGGAGAGCAAAAACAGGATTTTCTAGGCATTTAACAACTATTTTAAAACTTGCATATTATTTTATGTCTTAGAAACTGCTTTTTTATACACAGTAATTTTTTTGTTTTTTGCAACACTCCTTTGAAATAGTATTACAGATTATTTGGGGCCTTATAACATATTCCCAAGGTTGTTCCTGATGATACATTTTTGGCTGAGAAGCATATATAATATTCCTAGGAACTTTGAGAACACTGAAATAAAATTGTGTGTGTGTATGTATATATATTAGAATTCTTTATAGTTGTAATTCTTATTTTTACTATAGAAATATAAACGTACTGTAGGAATATATTACATGTAAGTGAGTTTGCTCATAAACATGATTACATATAGACAGTGTATTTAGATTTAAAGACATAAAAACACTAATTGAAGCATTCAAGAGATTATAGTTGTAATTCTTATTTTTACTATAGAAATATAAACGTACTGTAGGAATATATTACATATAAGTGAGTTTGCTCATAAACATGATTACATATAGACAGTGTATTTAGATTTAAAGACATAAAAACACTAATTGAAGCATTCAAGAGAATGTTTTCCCCTACTCTATTTCTCCCTTCTTTCCCTCCCACCCTTTCTGCTTTTCTTCCTTTCTTTCACCCATTTCTCTTCTTTTCTGCTTTTCTCAGACCTTCAAGTCTGTGTTTTCTGTGCTCTAAAAATATTTCATGTCATCTAAAGGCTTGACTAACTAGACTGGACATCCAAAGTAGCTGGCAATTTATACTGTCGTTTAGGTAGACTTGTTAATTGAATTACCTACACACGGCTTCTCTGTGGCTTGGGTATCTCTGAGCTAGGTTCCAAGAGCAAGTATCCTAAGAGACAGAAAGTAGAAAACGTTGGTTTCTGAAGGCCTGGTCTGGGAAGCTGCTACTATATCATTTCTATAATATTCTGTTGATCAGAGCAGTCATAGAGCCTGCCTAGATTTGAAAGGACAGAATATAATCCAACCTCTGAATGAAAACCGTGTCAGAGAATGTGTGGTCATCTTTAATTCACCTTATCTAGTTCTCAGTACCTTGTTATGTGAAGTATTTTGCCTGCCGTAAGGTAACTATTTTTTATCTTTTTATTTAACTTTCAGAATAGTTACTGCGAACTTTTTTAGGTCATGAATCTGTTTAATAAAGGGATGTTTACTTTTTCCACTTGAAAAACATACACACATACCCCTTATAAATATTGACTAAAATTTGAAAATCCTGTTCACTTAGTAAAATTATCAGAACACTATTTTTGTATTTTATGTAAACGCTTAATGTCATAGCATTCTGTTTTTTATATAATGGTCCATTTTTCCACAAAAGCTAATAAAATATATGGCTTTTTCATTTGGAAGAAATAGCAATTTAAATTATCATACCTATTTTACAGTTAAATTCAAATTATATCATGTTCTTCTCTTTTTCCCCATCATTACATTACACATTTACTTATTTCTTAGCAACTGATTTGATGGCAGGCTTTCTCTTCATCGGGAGTAGCCTTCTCTTTTCTGTGTCTTGCTGTGTTACAGAATAATCTCTTGTGTTTTAGTAAGTTTGATAGCTGTTTAGGTAATAATGTTGGAGGGTAAAAGCCATTATCTGAATTTTTCATTAAAGGATTCAATACTTAATAAATTTGCTGTTTTGCACTAGAATCTGATCGTTAGGCATTATCATATAGATCTATGTGTAACTTTCATTTTGGAAAGTAATGTTTTAGTTTTTTACCAGGGCGTGAGAGGAGAAAGTGTTCATAGTTTTGGTGATATCCTTTTCCAGATTATACAAGGTGTCAAAGTCTACCTCATGCAAGCAAATATGAGAATACCGATTATTCTCACACACACATATCTTCAGTTAATAAAAAGAAATAAGATCATTTAGTCATTTATTTTTTTCTATATTTTACTGCAAGTCAAATTTGTTTTATAAACCAATTTCAAGATGATGTATATATCTCACATGGGGTCAGAAAACTAACAAACAGCATCCTTTTGACAAGATATTCTTGGACAGGTATAGTGCTTCCATTGTGTAATTAGAGAATAATTTCAGTTTCCCTAAAAATTCTGTTATAGATCTGCTCTGGGCCATCTCCAGTCATTCTGAGTATTAATTAGGTTTCGCCTCAACATTTCACTCCCACTTTCTCAAATTTTTTTTGAGGACATAGTCTTTGTTTAAAGTGCCCTCTAAGTATTGACACTTTAAATTATTGAAGCATCTTAAGTGCTCATCTCCACAATTAAATATAGCCATATATATGTATTTGTATACACATGCACACACACACATGCACACACACACAAAGTTGGTGGAGAAATTTGAATTACCTTTTAATTGTTTCCTCGTGTATATTTATATATGTTTACATATGAAGGAGCGAGGATCATGTTATCTCCCTTGAATAAAAAAATTATCAATATAAACATCAAGCATATTTATGACCATAACCCATGAGGCAGGGTTAAAGACTCTTATACATTTTCTATTTCCATTGGAAAAAAAAAAATTCAAAAATAATGAAATATTGTAAAAGCAAATGTGATGATGAGGGGTAGTTTATACTAATATCGTGCTTTATTAGTAGGGACAGGTATAATTCATATGTGTCTAGCTACATGTAAATTTTAAGTCAAAAATACTGTTGCTGCACATGTGAATCAGTATTCGCTAGCGATAGCTTAAACACTTTGAAACAAAGTCAATAGTGATACAGTTAAACTAATTGTAATTTATAATTTGAGAAAAAAAGAATAGTTAAGTAGTTCCATAGAACAACTCAGCTGCACTGATACACAATGACATTCTTTTTGAAAATCGAAGGAGTTTCAACTGTCTTCATATGCACATTATCAGTAGTTTCCTACCCTTGAGTGGCAGCCGGATTTCTAAGTGAATCATATATTAGAGGAAGTGTACTAAGTTCTAATGTGTTCTTAGTGTGCTGAGTTTCTCTTTATGAATACCAAATTTAATATCCCTCAGTAAATCACTTAGTAGTTTTTCAGTGGGGAGCCTTTAGTCATTTGTGAAATTGCATATTTTGCTGCCGTTTTAGGGCAGTGCTACTCAAAGTGTAATCTGTGGACCAGCAGCATTGGTCTTACCTGGGAGCTTGTTTGTATTACAGAATCTCAGGACTTGATGTTTTGATCAGAATTGCATTTTAACAAGATTCCCAGGTGATTCTTATATACATTAAAACAACAGAGAAGTCTTCTCAAAAATTGGTGTGTGTAACAATTTTTGAAAGTTTGTTAAAATAGACTGTGGTCTCTGTTGTAACCATTCAACCCTGCCATTGTAGTGCTTGAGACAATATGTAAATGAGTGGTTGTGACTGCATTCCAATAAATTTCATTAACAAGAACAGGGGTGAACCAGATTTAGCCTTTAAGCTATAGTTTGCTCTCTCTTCATTTAGATGCCCCTCATGTCCCCTCCCCACCAGTGGACCACTAAATGTGTTAACAACTGCATTCAGCTGCAACTAACATAATCTAATTATAGTGGCTTACATACAGAAGAGTTTATTTTATTTTTTGTAACACGACTGGAGGTAAAGAATTGCTGTTGTATGTGTTTCAGCTGCTTTAAGAGGTTAGGGCCAACCAAAGGCTAGGTGAATCTCTTGGCCTTTTCCTCATGGTCCAGTGTGACTGCTGCAACTTCAGTCATCATGTTTGCAGTGTAGCCAGGAAGAAGAAAAGGCCTAAAGGGTTAACCTCCCAGCTAAGTTAGTCCCTCTTTAAAATTGCTGTCCTTGAAACTGCATTTGCTTAGATTTCATTAGACACAAATCCCAACCCCATGACATTCCACAATCTCCTTATTGCCTGGAGCCTGAGATTTTTTCATTTGAAGGATGGTCAGATTACTTACCTGGCCTCATTAAAAGGGTTAGAGATGATGAATATAATATGCATAGCTAAGAGCCTAGCCTTCAGTACATTGTAACTGAGATGATTATTAATTAGTAATTAATGATTTGTCCAGTGATGATACTGTTGCTTAAGTCACTTTTGGACTTCTTGAATGGCCTTCACAACCTGCCTCAAATGAACTGAGGTTTAAAAGGATTAAACTAAGGTTAAAATATATTTAATTTGAATAGGGCTAATTTGGTCACTAACAGGTGGTCCATTCTTTTTCCTTCATATGGGCTGAAATAAACATATTCTAGTAAATACTACTACTGTTTTTTATGTTTGCAAGTGGTGTTTGTTGTCAAGTTACCAATGGGAGGAATACACGTAGTGGGAAAATATGCTACGTAGAGGTGCTGTTTTCTAAGTTCTGTTTGAGTAGTTTCGATAAATGCTAGGTTTTCAGACTTCTTTTAGAAGAGAAAGGTAAAACAGAATAATATTGGAGCCGATGACTCTGCCTCTATCCTTGGTCATGTAATTTTTCTTAATACTTTGGAATGTTATGATATGAACTTTATAAATGCCTTTGCTACTCAAGTGAATGCATTTGATTTTCTGTTTGCTGGCGCATCAAGATTGTTGTTTGTTTGTTTGTTTTAACCCTGCATTTACTTCTGATAGCTTGTAGATAACACGGTTTTGGGTTATAACATGGTTGATAATTGATTTTATGTGTATTTCTGTAGGTACTTTTTCAGTGTCTTTAACATGTGTCCAATTTGAAATGAGAAATGGTACACAAATGTTAAAATTAAGTTTCTGAAACCTAATTTAACTTTTGGTACAATTGACTTTATAACTTGACAAAATTCTTCAAGATATTTTTTCTGTTGCAAATAGTAATTTCTTTGAGTTTTACGTGAAAGACTCTTCATAGGATCAAAGATTACAAATTTTAGAATTTAGGTGAGAAATCTGAGACAGTAGAGAGTGATTAAAGTTAAAGTGGCATAGACTGCTTTTATATTCAATGGAATATATAACCTGATCTGCATGTATTTTTCACAATTATTTTATTGTATTTATTTTTTACTGTTATTGCAGCTGGATATTGCGTGATCACTTACATACTTGGAGTTGGAGACAGGCACCTGGATAACCTTTTGCTAACAAAAACAGGTAACAAATAATGGCTGCTATTGGACATACATTTTATATGCCTGTGATTTTTACCTTGGAACCTACATATTAACAAAATAAGTTGCACAAGTGAAGATAAATCAGAGTCTTACAAGACCCTTTAAGTGATACCTTAGAGGGACATTTAGGGAAACTTGCATCCCTTATAAAAATTGCTTTAGTGTTAATCTTATAGATAGTCATCTAGCCATTGTTTTTGTACCTGTTATGCCTCTTTTTATGTAAAGCCCACAATGTATGCAAATAGTCCAATCTCTTATTATATAGCTCTCGTTAGAATGTTGGAATGTTCCTTCTTTTACCAAACTATGTTTAACTTACTTTAACATCTATCTTTAATTATTTGCTTTTCCCCTTGGAGTTCTATGGAATAATCATTCTCATCTCCCTTCTTCCTGTGAATTCTTTAGCCCCATGTCTTTAAACCCCATCTCTATGCAAACATCTTCCAAACTTACATTTTTCTACTTCAGTCCATTTCATTAACTTCAAATTGAAATATCCAACTGCTTACTTAAAATTCTAAATAAATATGGCTAATTGTAAAATTTGTCCCCTTCCTTGACTACCTGCCAAAAATCTGCTCCTTACCTCATTGTCTCATCTCAATAGATAGAAGCATCATTTACCTAATTGTTCAAACCCTAGACCTAGAAGTCATTCTTCTCTTATTAGCAAATCTTGTCTACTCTTCACCTCCATCATAGATCTATGTTGAAGTTACTCACTGTCTTCATTTCTACTGCTTTCATTCCGTTTGAAGGTGTCAACATATTTTGCCTAAACAATTTGAATAAAATCTGAACTCTTTACTGTAGCCTTGTGGCTTGCCATGCTGGTCTCCTGTATGACACTCCTGCCTCAGACAAGTGCCCTTGTTTCTTTTCTCTGGAAAGCTCTTTTCACAGATTTTTGCAAGTCTGACTTTAGTTATTAAGTCTAAGTTCCAATGGTATCTCCTTAGAGAAATCTTTTCTAAGTTTCTGGTTTGTAATAACATATGTACCTCTTTCTCTATTAGTTTCCACTTATTATGCTATTTTGTTTTCTTTGCAGCATTTATATCTAGCTGAAATTATCTTTTTTGTTTAATTCAACAAATATTTATTGAACACCTACTAGATGCTGGGAATACCAAAGGAACAGAACAGACAGAAATCCTTGCCCTCACAGAGTTTGTTGGCTTCTTACCATCATCTTCTCCCATTCAGGATGAAAGTTCCATGAGAGCAGGGACCTGTTCATCCAGATTACTGTCAGAGCCTTGAACAACACTTAGCTAAAGTGTTCAATAAATCAGTGTTGAATTTATGAGTGAATAAATATTTCTGCTCTTCTATGTAAACCTTTTCTTCTTTGGTCTAAATAATCCAGTTTTTTCACCTTTCTGCAGAAAATAGATTTTCACATTACTCTTTAAATTGATCTCTCTGGTAAGTGCATTTTGTTTTGTTAGTATTTCTCCAAATTGTGATAGCCGGAATTTAACATAGTACTGAAAAGTTTGGAAAGAATTGGTACTGAGATGAGAAATGAAGCTAAAGGAAGTTTATTGGCACAGGTGACACAGTGGAGACATAGGTACTGGACCTAGCCTGCCTGCAATCCCGGGGGTTGGGCTTTTATCCCTTACTATGCTGAGTTTACTGTGCTAATTGGCTGAAGCTTAGGCTAATGAGGTGAAAGTTGAAATGTCCAATGAGCGCTTGCTGGGATGATATGTTAATCAGGTGACTTTTTAGGTTGTTAAGGATTGGTTGTTTTAGTATGCAGAAAGGGTTTTGCAAGTGGACCAATGGCATGAAGTCTTTGTGGTTTATTTTGGAAAGTTTTGTTATGGGGTCCTTCCTAGAAATGTTCCACCCTGTAGGTGGGGCCCCCATCCAGTTAGTGCCAGTGACACCATTTTGTGTATCTATTTCTGAGACTAATAATAATAATAATAATAATCAGGAATTTCATATATTCAGTTTTTAATGTTTACATACGAAAAGTCATTTGTGGTAGAATTTGTATGTGTGATGCCATGTCTGTGTCAAGGCCAGGTAGTCCCTCTAAGAACCAAGACTGAAGAAATATAGTCAGATTGTCATGGAGTTTCTCAATTCCTGTGCTCTTTTAGCAACGGATATTTATAAAATGGTACAATGTACTGGGAAAGAATTGTAATTTGGAAGAAGTTTTCATGTATTGTTTTCATTAGCTCTCTTTTTGGGTAAATCTTTTTATCATCAGAATTGAGCTACCAAAGCGATTCCATTTGTTTCTAGGTTTCAATCATTTTATAGTCACACTAGAATTATCTAATGCATACAGTAGCATTACATCTATAATATTATATTCACAAGATCCTGTTTGTCTTTTCTTTTGGAAATTGATAATATAGTAGAAGTTTTCCTGTTGGACTTTAAGAAGTATTGTTTATTGTGTATGTGTGTCTGTGTGTGTTGATGGGGATATTTTAAGAATAAAATTTGGAAAGAGGAGTCTACCTAATGTACTATTTGTCCCACGTGTCAGTTATTTGTTTTATGGAAATCAAATTGTAAAATTTCAGAAAGAGAAGCTTTAAGCTTCTTCTTAACAGTTTTCCACTAGATGGTGCTCCAAATTTGCCTTTAAAAACCACTTACATTAAAATGTGCTAGATAAGAGGCACATTCTTTTTCTTTTAAAACAGCAGATTTTTTTTTAACTGCTTTGTAATTTATTTCATCCATTTGTATCATGCAGTTAGCATTTTAAATCTTCTTTATGGGGAGAAATATTTTCAAATTTCCAGGTTTAGTTTAAATGAAATTAGGTTATATAAGGAGAGACTGATTGCATTAAAACAAGTAGAAGAGTAATACATTCCTCAGCTTCTAAAAATTTATAATAATTTTAAAATGTTTGTGTCGTTAGTCATCTTTTAATGACAGTTCATATTTCAAAGCAGCTCCAAGTTATATTATTTCCATGTATGTTTTAAATAGATTTTGTATAGTTTAGAAAAAGTGAATTTTGAATGTGGTTCATTGCAGGAAATGTATTTCAGTACTTTTACTTAAAAATGCCTCGAATGTTATGAAGTATCTTTTATGATGTATTTTGGGTCCATTATACATTCAGCACAGATTATGTAACTTTAAAAATTGAGAATTTTGAATTATCGACATAACTTTCCAATCCATCAATGGCTCATGGAGCATTTCTTAAATATATGAAGTAACATTTCTCCCATTCTTCAAAATAGAACACCTTTGTCTGTTCTCATTTGCCAGCTGGGGCAGGTTTAGAGTTTATAATGAATTATAATCAGAGTGCTGTTGTATCACATATGTCCAGTTCCCAGGTATGAGAGATGGAGCAGAGGAAGGAGACATTCAGATTTTTTTCCACTGGTGTCTTTTTGGGACTTGCCCCTGGCAAACTGTTTGACCTTTAAATATAGATGAGACATAAAAAGACCTGGCTAAGAATTCTAGTCATGTGTGAAAGAAAATGATTCATTGCATATAGAGAATTTCAAAAATCTATGCAAAGGTAATGTGCTAAAATGCAAAATAATAGTCTCAGTATGTGCCAAACGTTTTTTTGCCCATGCATTTGGTTTTGAATATTGTTAGCTTGGTTGGAGTTTCCTCAGCTTGTGCAGCAGAGGGCGCTATGTATCCACCATAAATGTAAAAGTATGAAACTTTTTTGTCAGTGTATTGTTATGTGGTCAATTATAACAATTGTTTTTTGGAAGCAAATTTAAGGTAAATAATATTTCACTTATTAATGCATTGCTATAAATTTCTTTGGATAAGAAATTACAAAATTTAAGCTCTGGTGCAGAATTGAAAAAAATGTTTTTGTTTTGTTTTGTTTTGTTTTGTTCCAGAGTAGTCTTTAGAAGAAGCTTTAAGAAGTTTATTCAGGGTAATCAATTTTGGTAGGATTCAAATGAAACATGGTTTGGGTTTATCCCAACTCTTTAGAGAATGGTTTATTTTTTCTTTTTATGTTTGAGAATTTGAGGGGTAAAGGGGAGGCCCAGTATAATGAAAACTTGTTCATTCCTTATGGTGTACAGACTTTGTGATAGAATTAATATGTTAATAATTGAAAACATTCACAGATGAAAGCAGGGGGCTGGGGCTAAATGGAAAGTTAGTGGTAGGTCCTAAGGATGGCCCTTCTAATCTTGAGTTATACATTTGTGAGAGGAGTTATGGTTTTTTGTGTCTTGGCACTTCACAGTAATACACTTTGAGCCTTTTGTCAGAAAGTTCAAAGTAAAGAATAGTCACTTTTATTATCCCAGTTGGACTTTTTTTTTCAATATATCACCTATCCTAAGCCTCCTTATCGCTCTTTAATTTTATGTTAAGTTGATTCGCATTTTTTAAAATTCTGAGGAACAGTTTTAGACAGCAGTTAATAGGTTAGGCTCTGAAGTCAAATTTTGGGTTTAACTTGCCCTTCCACCATAGGGTGACTTTGGGTAAGTTACCTAATACACCTGTGGCTCAGTCTTCTCTCCTGAATGTATAACTAATAATAGAACCTCTCTCCTCATGGTACTGTAAGGTTTCCATGAGATAATGTGGTAAAGTTTTGCTTGATATTAAGCACATCTTAGGTTTGTTTATTTTACCACCATGAGATGAGAATGTCTTCTTTTTCTAGCTTATGTAGTTGTTACTTGGATTCATAATTTTAGAGATAAGAAAGTAGTTAATATATTTCAAAAATTCCTTTTCCCCCAACCCAAAATTCAAGCTCTTTTAAGTTACTGCTTTCCCTGATTCTCTTTTGAGTGGCTCTCTCTGTTAATAGTTTAGGGGAGCTTATAAAAGAGAAACAGTCAATTTGATCATTGATTTGATGTTATCTTTTTTATGTTTTTAAGATAAGCCTTGATGTTTTCAAAATAAAGTATACTATATTTGTTTTATTTTTTCTCAGAGTATAATACAGTTATTTATGATGTTCAAAATCTCATGTAGAAA